CCCTAACCCCTCTTAATTCTAATTCCCTCCATAAATTATTTCCTAGCTTGCTTTGTGTATATGTTTGCTCACTGTCTCCCCTTGTAAGCTCCTTGAGGTCAGGAACTGTCTTTTGCTTCTTTCTGTATCCCAAGCACTTGGCATAGTGCCTGGCATATAGTAGGTGCTATGTAATTGTTAGTATTATTATTATTATTATTATTACCACCAGCAGACCATGAAGGCTTGTTCAGTCTCCCAGCTTGTTGCTGACAATTGGTTCCTCCTCTCCTTAAAGAGATTCCCAATGGAGGAGAATGTGGACAATAGCATTGTCTCTTCCCTCCCTCTACCAAGTGACTATCAACAGTTCCCAACACCCCTCCAATCTCTTGAGGAATCATCAAAATCACTCAGACACAATTGGGTAATCAATAGGGGACTGCAGTAGAGTGTGGAGAGAGAGGGAAGTGAGGAGTTCTCTGAGAGCATAATTGGGTAAGACATGGGGACCCAGGGATATCACAGTAGAGGTAATGAATGAAACAAATGTCACAGAACACATCTGTTGGCAAGAGGACAAAACAGAAAACTGTGGGTGCTACATTGTATTATCTGACAATGGCTACTTGCCCTGCAGAGGAGAGGTAAGTGGTCCTGTAAATGGCCTACTTCATTTGTCTTAACAACGTCAAATCAAGAAAGAGGTGATATGCGCAATGAAAAAAAAATCCTAGATTGATATTTAGGAGACCTAGGTTCCAATCCCATTTCTACCACAAATTAGTTATTTGATCCTCCTTCTGGTCCTTCCAGATGATGATTCCTCATCAATAAAAAGATAGCACTGGATTAGATAATCCCACAGGTCCCACGCAGTTTTGTCATTCAATGGTTCTACTTGGTTTGGATAAATATATCCAGGGCATGTTTCTCATATACACTGGAATCCAACTGGGTAGACAGTTTGGTTGTATTTGATATATTCAGATATATGGCTGGCTGTGCCATCTATTACCTCTCCCAAACATTTGCTTCCCATTCTAGTGCTGCTTGAATTTTAACTATCCTTTTCTGTAATGGGTCCAAGTCCTGGGGCAGACATTCTGATCGGAAATTAAAAACTACTGGCCTCTTGCTAGTGTTGTGGAACAGGAAGCTGTTTGTTGGCACCTATATGCATGTGGATAGGGGGAAATGTTGATTCTGGGGACAGAACAACAACTTTAACTACTTTAGGCAGGTTAGCATAGAGGCAGCCTGCATCTTGGGGGGATTTGGGAGTAAGCCAAGGACAGATCTGGGGCTGAGACCAAAGAAATGAGGCACGGCAAAACTATGCCAGGACCACAGAAAAATAGTCACATTTGTTTAGTCCAGACTGGCAATGGGATTGAATGGGTTGGTGGAAAGGGTTCAGGCAAACCAAAAGGACAGCACTGTGATTTGGGGTATCTGCTAGGTTAAACCTGGAGAGGTAGGATCTAGGAGAGCCACGTAGTGTGCACTGGCACCTGGGGCTCTGAGGGAGGAGGAAAACTGGAGTAATGGGGTTGGAGTAACCAAAGTGGAGCAGGGGAGAACTGGGATCTATGAAGACTGGCTACGGTAGTGATAAGCATTACTGGAGAGGCCAAAAGGTAGAGATTGGACTAACATTCTCTCTAGGCTCCACTAGGTTATTTGTGAAAAATGTGCAGAAATGTTTGTGTGAAAAAGGCAGCAACAGACTATTTCCTTGGGAGCCTAGCAAACATCTCCAAAAGCAAGTCCTTTTATTCTTCTTTGATAGTTGGCTTAGTTAGGCATAGTCTTTAAAATTTGTCCTGATTCCAGGGACATCACTGATACTGAATCTCATTTCATAAGCACTACTACCTTTTTTTTTTAAGTGTCACAAGTACGTGACCTGAGCCGAACTTAACAATTTTCAGAAATGGCTATATATGAAACTGCAGATTGTGTCTTTTATCACAATACTTTTAATTACTGTACATACTCAGTTTTATTATCCAATTATGGGTAAGATTAAAGTTCATCAAGCAACTTGCTTTACGTGAATTTCCTGCATTTCCAAAAGATCAGTATAACATTAAAAAGCAAATGAAACTGTCAACTACAGATTATAAAGGTTGATTTATCATCTATCTTCCATAGGCAGCAAAACTGGATACAATATTTTCCTCTGATGTATTCATTCTGCATATACAGTATATTGTATATCTTTTCATTTCAGCATTGAAAAAATACCACTAATCCCCAGTGGGAGTCATAATTTCACTGAGGATACAGTACCTAGAGTTCTGTACCACTAATCCTGTTTGTTACACCAGACAAATGAGGAAGGACCCACAATTTCATGAAATTACTTTTAAATATTGGCTGTTACCTTGCCCCACCAAGACACCTAACTCTTCCTATAAAAGAAAGCATCAATATAATGAACATTGTCATTCATAAGACGATAGGATCACAAGTTGAGGGACCATAAAGATCATTTAGTCCTCTCCTTCCCTACCTGCATTCATTTTACACGTAAGGAAACTGAGATTAAGGTAAAGTAACTTGCCCAAAGTCACATAAGTAGTGACAAGGACAGATTTTGAACCCAGGTCTTTTGGTCAATGCACTCCTTCCACTGGTGAACCACATGAGATTTGATGATACCAGAGGTCAAATGACGTTTCTCATCTACTTCAACCATTCAAGCATTATTTATTGAATACCTACTGTGTGTATTATGCACATCACTCTACCTATCAGTGAGATGCACAGGATGTATGCAGCTTAGTGAATCTAAGTTTTAACCAGTTATTTAACCTACTATGTACAAGGCATTGTACTGAGTGCTTCAACATTGAATTACAGTGTTAGACCTGGAAGATCATCTACCTTAACCCCTTATTTTACAGAATAAGAAAGCGAAGGCCAGGGAGGTATGTCCCACCACATGACAGTGACAAGTAACAAAGTACCATTAGTACATGGCTGTGATAATCTCTTGCAGTTGTATAGAATCCAAGAGATTATCACATTATCATTGCTGCCTTATACATTATTTCATTTGAGCCTCCTAGCAAGAAGTAGGCAGGACAGATGCTAATAAACCCACAGCGTACTGTGTTTTTGTTTATTTTTTAAAGATTTGTCAACTACATTTTAAGCTAATTCAGGCCACATCTCCAGCCATTAAGTTCGATACCTGTGGTATAGTGGATAGATTGCTGGCTTTGGAAACAGGAAGATCTGAGTTCATATCCTGTCTTGGCCATTTACTGGCTGATTCTGGGAGAACCAGGTTTGCATTGTAAACCTTAAAGTATTACATAAACACTAGCCATTATTATCATTATTATTATTATTATCATTGTTATTATAATAATCATAATCACCATCATCAAATGCTTTGTTAAAATCTGTATAATCTATTGACAACATTCTCTGACCTGCCAGTTTATAAATCCTGTCCAAAAAAAGTAAATAGCTAGTCTGTTATGATCTGCTCTTGATGATACCATGCTAATTTCCTTGTAATTACCATTTTGTTTTCTAGTTGTACATTAACTGTCTCTATAATGATCCATTCTAGAATTCCTACCAGAAACCCCAAATTTCTGACACTAGTGCCCTAAAAGTCCATTGATATTTGTACTACACAGATGAGCCCCAACTGTGCAGACAGGTCATGTACATAAAAACATAAACAAAGAGGTCATAATTAGTATCACCTACTACATTAAAGATAACAACTTTTAAGTGGGTTATAACAGAAGAAAAACTATGCACATCTATAATCATGGGGAGTTTGGTTCATATAAGAAAAATACTGTTAAATTATATTGATTTCTCAAAATCAAGGTAACATGAGTCATTTCCCAATAGATAATGGTAAAAGTATACAAATAAGAAGTTCTCAAAGGAAGAAATCTAAGCTATCAATATTCATATAAAAAATTCTCCAAATAATAATAAAAATACAAATTAAAATGACCGTAAGATTCTACCTCAAACATATCAGATTAGCAATAATGACAAAAATAAAAAATAACAATTGCTGGAGGGGCTGGGAAAGGCGCACTAATGCACTATTGGTGAAGCTGTGAATTGGTCCAGCCATTTTGGAAAGCAATTTGGAACTCTACTTCAAAAAGACACCAAACTGTACATTCCTTTGATCTAGTAATTCCATTTCTAGGTATGTAAAGCTCAAAGAGATCATAGAGAAATGTCTCATATGTACAAAAAATAATTATAGCAGCATTATCTCGTAGAAAAGAATGGTAAACTAAGGGGGTAGCCATCAACTAAATAATGGCTGAATAAATTATGGTGTATGAATGTAATAAAATATTATTATAGAATGAAAATTATGAAAAGAATTGATTCATATAAACCTGAAAAATATATGAATTGATGCAGAGTGAAGTAAGTACAACTATGAGAACAATTTATATAACTTTTTTTTTAAAAATCAACTTTGAAAGACTTAAGAACTCAACCAATACAATGACTCATCATTATATCAGAACATTGATGAATCATGTTACCTATTATGTGAGAGGATCAAGAGACAGACTCCAAAATATATTTTCTAACATAGCAAAGGTCAGTCAGTCAGTCAATAAGCATTTAATAAGTGCCTAATATGTGCCAGTCACTGTATTAAGTGGTCGAGCGTAGATTTGTTTTGCTTTACTATCCTTATTTACAAGGAATACAAGGAATACAAGAAATGGTGGTTGTTGTTGTTTTTAATTTGGAGGAAAATTGGGAGAAACTAGTGATATAGATGACAAAAAAAAGAAAAGAAAAAATGGCCATCTAGCTTTAAAAACACAAAAGGGAACAGAGAGAGGTTCAGTTAGAGACACAGACACACAAGATAGCTTTGAAACTAAAATGTTTGGTTATTTTTTTTTTACGTAAGCAATAAGTAATAGAGTCATGGTTTCATGAAAAAAAAAAAACCCTCCATTCATATGCCCAAAAAAACCACCCAAGATTAAAAGGCAACAACAAAAAAATCCAGATTCAATCTATAGCAAAAAGTTATATAACAATGTTTTAATTATGAAAAAAGCATCAATATCAAAAATTTTTATTACAGTATATTTAATATGAATACTTATAGTCTAAATAATTCCAAATATCAAATAGTGTTGAATCATTTTTTTTTAACCAACATAATATTTGTCCTTATAGCTCACATGTAGTTCCCCTACCCCACCCCCCTCACCTTGTTCATAGCATTGTTACTTCTACCTTCACTCTTTGTAGCCTACTTGACTTTCTTTGCAACATGTCTACTTTTACATGAAGTTTCAAATCACATACAATCCTCTAAGCCATTATGAAAAAATTATTCAAATAATGCCACTTTTAAGTTATTAGCACAACTGAAAAAGATATTGTTCCCCAGGTGAAATGTTGTCAGTCAACTTTCAACCTAAAGCAAATTTTATTTTCAAGTCAAAAACCCCAAATAAATGGAGCTGAGTTTATAATCGATATAACATCAGAATTTGGCATTAGAATCTAGGGATACTAACAGGTAGCTTTCCTATAATGAGGCATTTAGGGACTAATCATGGTGAATTATAGCATTAAGCTGCAAAACCAATGAGCAATTTCTGTTGCATCCTACATCACTTTAGCCCACAAAAGCTATGAAGTGTTTAACCCAAATTTCAGGTTGGGTGAACGAAGAAAAGGATTAATAAAGTCATGATGAGTACTATTTGCCCTCTCTGAAGTATGAAAAGAAACAAACATCAACAAAGCAATTAATATTTATCAAATCTTCCTATGTGTCCTAGGGATTGAAGCAGAGCCATTAAAGGACATGTTAGAAAACAGTAAAATCCTTGTTCTAAATGAGTTTAAATTCTCTTCATCATGCAAGATGGACCACAGAATCTCATCCATAATTTACATTTCAAAGGAGATATAAAATTGTCATTTTAATACCAGGAAATTAGGAAGAAAAATCACTAAATGCAATGTTCATTTTTACTAATCTTCTATTATCCACATTGCTAAAGATTTTTAACTAATATTTTATTCTAAACCCTTTCTAATTATATCAAAGTCAATTCAGTTCTTAGTAATACAAAGGTAGAGTTGCAAATGATTTTTGGATAGGAGAAAAGGAATTCATTTGGTTTTACTCGAGTACAAAACCCAGCTCATTCCACAGAGTTGTCACTGGGAACCACAAAGTTTATCTGTCTTCATAGAGCACTTCATCTATTTTCATATCATTTTCTCCAACTGGCACTGCACCACAGATCTGCTCTTTGAAAGCCAAAGCAATCGTATAAGGCTTTCTTTCTTGGTACTGCACGCAATGCTTCAGGTAGGTGTCATAATATCCCTTCCCCCTTCCCAGGCGGTTGCCCTGTTTGTCAAATCCAAGACCTGGCACGAAGATGAGATCCAGACCCCCTATTTAAAAAAAGAAAAGGAAAAAAAACACATGTAAAAGAGTTAACAAATTTAAAAAATAATGGATTATTTTAATCCTGCCATGTTATTAAAGATAGTTCCACTGGAATACCTGAATGTTTGCAAGTAATTCTATGTAATGCTTATCTTAAACCTAAAAGGCTGGTTCTTTGCCTTTTCTCTTTCAATTCAGACAATTAAATTTGAGTGTCTATTAAGAACTTGCTGTGTGCAAAGCACTGGAGATACAAAGACAAATCCCCCTAGACACAGACTGATGGGAGGTGTACAACATTTACACAGAAAAATATGTCGTTATTGAAAAGCAGCACATAACAACTAGGAGTGGAGGAGGGAGGTCATGGATGAAATGAGCCTAGAAAAATAAAAGAGAAAGAAATGAGGAAGGAGGGGATTTCATGGATGAGGGGCAGCCCATAAGAACAGAGAAAGGTTAGAGGTAGATTGCTGGGTTTGGGGCCCAGCTAGTATTGGGCGGGAACATAGATGTCTCAAAAGGAATAATATAAAATAAGATTAGAATGATGGGTTGGAGTGGGATTGGAGAAGGCCTTAAATTCCCAGACAGAATCATTTGCATTTTCTCCTAGAGACAAAAGGGAGCATTGAAGGTCTTTGAACAGAGGAGTCACATGGTTAGATGTATGTCTAAGAAAGAGCTCTGTGAAGGATGGATTAGAAAAGGAAGTGACAAGAAACAGCAAGATTATTACATTAGTGGAGAAGTGGTGAGAGCCTCAACTAAGGAAGCAGTCACCTTGTGAGGGGGAATATAAGAGAATGGATGCAAAAGATGGTGTAAGTATAACCAACAAATATAGACAATTGATTGGATGTGGAGCAAGGGAGACAGAAGAGTCAAGGAAGTTATAAACCAGGGTGACCTAGAGAATAGTGGGACCATCAAGAGAAATAAGAAAGCTTAAAAGAGGCGCAGGTTTAGAAGGAAAGATGTAGCATATGCATCTCAAACTAAATATCTACAAAGCAACTGATTATCTCCAGAGTCAAAGTACCTGGGTTCAAATCCCACCTCTGACAATTATTACCTGCATGATCTTAGGCATATAACAACCTCCTTAGGCCTCTATTTCTACAACTGTAAAATGGGAGAGTAGACCAGATGACATGTGAGGCCCCTTTCAATTCTTGATCTGTTTTCCTGTGATCTTTCCCTGTAAATCTATCTCTCTTTGTAACTTTTTTCAGTTTCTGTTGAAGGCACCACCACCCTTCCAATTATACAGGTTGAAAACCTTGGTGTCATCATTGACTCCTCATTCTCCCTGACCCCTATGTTGAAACTGAGAAGGAGCAATCAGACTGGTATGAGAAGAATCAAGAGATAACAGTGTCACAAATACTAAGGTAGGTAAGAATATCCAGAAAAAGGGAGGTGTTCAGCAGTGTCAAAGCTGTGGTAAGGTCATGGAGGATAAGGACTGAAAAAAGGTCATCAAATTCAGTGGATAAAAAGATCGCTAGCAATCTTTGAGAGACCAACTTCAACTGAACAGTTAGATCGAAAATCAGATTACAATGAGTTGAGAAGTGAGTATGTGGGCAGGGAGGCCGTGGAGACAGAAAGTGTTTTCAGGGAAAGAAAGAAGAAACAAAAGAAGAGTGTTGAGAAGATGGCAGAGTTAAATGAAGGTTTTTAATGGTGGGGGAGACCTGAGAATGTTTGTAGTCAAAGGGGAAGGAGCTAGTACACAGGAAGAGATAAAAAATGAGAGAGAAGATGATCAATAGGGCAATATCACAGAAATGACAGAAGATTACAATTAAGGGCACAAGAGGAGTAAACTTCAGCAAAAAGAAGGGACACATCTCCAAAGACTAGCGGAAAGGACACAATGGATGAAAATTAGAGGAGTGTTGATGTGTGGAGTAGAGAAAATGAAGAAATTTATGATGGATGGCTTCAATTTTCTCACTAAAGTAGGAGGCAAAGTCATCTGCCATGGGTGGGAGGACAGAGAAGCTTGAGGAGAGAGGAAAAGATTTGGAAGAGTCACTGGGAATGAGAGGTGGGGAAGACAGTGATTGAGTCAACAAGGGAAAAATAAAAAGATTGCCATGCAATTGTGATGAGTCCTTTTGAGAATAGGTGACATAAATTTGTATTGGACACAAAACGGTTGCATTAATTTTTCCACACTGCTTCAGCAGCTTGGGAGGAGGGAAAGAAAAAGTCAAAGGTGCCAATTGTGACTTAACATTGAGGATTAGTAGAGTGTGAATGGGTCAAAAACAAGAGGTCAAGGGATTTAAGGGTGGAGGAGAGTGCAAAGATGAATTGATTAAGTATCAGGTCAAAATAGGAAAGGTCAAAAAAGGAAGGGAAGCAAGACCAGGACAGAGGATGATAGGCTGGGAGAACTGAGAGGGATGAGGAAAATGAAGGACAAAGGATAGGCTTAGGAGAGAGGCAGAAAGAAAGATGCAAAGACAAGCAATTGTGAACAAAGAGAGGAATTTAAACATTGAAGACCACAGGGGTGGCATAGTTTGAGGAGAGGGGTAGGTAGAAATTGTGACTAAGCCTGTGGATGACTGAGGGGAAATGTAGATGTAGAGCATGGAAGGTCAAGGTTGGTGAACTCGGAGGGTCAGGCACATGAATACTGAATACAGATATATATAAGCCAGCTACTGAATTCCATAAGAAAGGAGAGAAATCAAAGAGATCAAAGAAAGAGGAAGAGGTCTTATATGTACAAAAATACAGCAGCTCTGTGATGTCAAAGAACTGGAAACTAAGGAGGTGCCTATCAATTCAAAAATGGCTAAACAAATTGTGGTTTGTGAATATAAAAGTAATATTACTGTGCTGTAAAAATTATGAAAGAGACAATTTCAAACACACTTAGGAAAACTTCTATGAATTGATGCAAAATGAAGTGAGCAGAACAGGGAGAATAATTTACACTATAACAACAACATTGTAAAAATGAACAATTTTGAATGACTTAAGAATTCTAATCAATGCAAAAATTAACTATGATTCCAGAGGACTGATGATGATAAATGCTACCCACCACCTCATCACAGAGAAACGATAGACTAAATACACAGAATGAGACACACATTTTTGTTTTTTTGGTTTTTTTTGTTTTGTTTTGTTTTTTTGTTTTTAGGCAATTGGGGTTAAGTGACTTGCCAAAGGTCAAGTGTTTGGTCTGAGGCCGCATTTGAACTCACGTCCTCCTGACTTCAGGGCCGGTGCTGTATCCACTGCGCCATCTAGCTGCCCCAAGACACACATTTTTAGACATGATCAATATGGCTCAACTATGCATATTTGTTAAAAGGTTGTTTTCTTTTTCTAGTGGAGAATAGGGACGGAGAGAAAATGAAAACTTATTAATTGGGGTGGGGAGGGAGATGGGAAGGAAGAAGAATAACCTGACTTGGCCAAGTGTGAGCCTTGATCTTTTTTTTTTTTTAGAATTACAAACACCTTCCTGATTAAATACTATATATATTTATCACAACAGCTTTTAAAGGACATTTGCCTAAGCTATGATCCTCTGAGTTTTCAAAGTATTTATAGCTGTCAACTTGCCTGGCAAATACCTAGTATTAGCTTCCCTTCCTCAAATATAATTTTGGTATCTTAAACAGATTCAACTTGTTTCCTCTGGATATTATCATTATGTCCTATTCATTTACTCTAAATTTTAATCATAGGATTATAGTCCTAAAGTCAAAATGTGCCTGAGAAGCTATCTACAACTCCACACCCATATATTCTACATTTTGCAGATAAGGAAAATGAGACCCAAGAAAGTTAAGTGATTTGCCCGAGGTCAAAAAGGCAGTAAGTGTCAAAGGCAAAATATGAACCTGGATCATAAATTTAGACAATGATATAATTAGAACTCAGGTCCTCTGATTCTAGATACAGTGTTCTTTCCACTAAAACCTGCTGCTCTTTGATAACTTAGCCTGTTATTGGCCCATTCTACTGCCCATGAAGCCTTCTCTAGGGAGAGCAGGTGCTATTACTACCACTATCACAACCACTAATAATAACTCTCATTTAAAAATATTGCTCCTTACATATATTACCAATAAGGATAAAAGGTTTTTTCCATTCATTACAACCACCACCCAACTGTAATTTTAGACTTTCTTGAAGATAATGAGGCCAGCCAAGGTATGGGATTCAAAGTATTTCTTCTAAGAAGAGGGCTCCCTATAGACAAAACATCTCTTTTAGCCAAAGGATTCTACACCACACCAAAGCATTCCATTTCTATAAACATTTCCACAGAACTCCATTCCAATAAAGCCCTTCAATCATTCCCCCAGACCTGTACCAGGAAGAAGATAATTATCTTATCTTATAAACTATATAATACATTCATCAGTGAGTCATTCAACAGGCATTTCTTTTTTTTCCTTTTTAAAAATTTTTTTTTCTATTTGTGTTTGTTTTTTTTAATTTGTTTTCAACATTTACTTCCACAAGATTTTGAGTTCCAAATTTTCACCCCATCTCACCCCTCCCCCCACTCCAAGATGGCATGCATTCTAAATACCCCTTCCCCTAGTCTGCCTTCCCTTCTATCTCTCCCCCCCTTCTCTTATCCCCTTCCCCTTCAATTTTCCTGTAGGGCAGGATGAATTTCTGTACCCCATTTCCTGTATTTCTTATTTGTCAGTAGCATGTGAAAACATTTTTTTTAAACATGTGTTTTTAAAACTTTGGGTTCCAAATTTTCTCCCTTCCTCCCTCCCCACCCACCTTCACTGAAAAGGCAAGCAACTCAACATAGGTTATACATGTGTAGTTATGCAAAACACTTTCATAGTAGACAAGCTGTGAAAAACTAACTCTATTTCCTTTAATCCTATCCTGCCCCCCCATTTATTCTATTCTTTCTTTTGACCCTGTCCCTCCTCAGAAGTATTTGCTTCTGATTACTCCCTTTCCCAATCTGCCCTCCTCTCTATCATTCCCCTACTCTCTT